ACTATGGGGCCTATGGGTAGAAGCCCCGGATACAGATCCACAACACCACCCGCAGATTCAGCCATAAAGCTCCAAGTACAGTGCGCCAAGGGGTTCGAGACTATAGTACGTACCCGTAGAGAGTCTTACGAAACGGAGGGGAAGCACTTACGGTTGGCCCTGTGAATACCTTGAGAGCGTCAACACCAACCCAACGCACACCCAAGCTCGAAAACCACGCGAGGATGCCGTGCAAGACCTCCGACAGCCCAGAACAGGGCAGTTGAAGCCCACTGAATACCTTATGAAGCCCAGAATCTACCACAATTGCCGTAGATAGCTTTTGCAAGGATGCAGGATTTCAATTTCATCCCCAGGTCCTGCCCTTCTCCGGCCATGGTCTGGAGGCTCGGCAGAAAGCCCAAGGAGCGGCGAGCATCCAGGTCGCTACCCAGACTTCCCAGAACCTCACAGCGTGCGGCGTCTTCGGAAATTTCGGCTGCCAAGCTGGGGACGCACAGGCTTCCACATTCCACGACTTCCACTTTCGGATTTGAGATTACGGGCTGTTGGGGGTATAATGTTGAAGGTTCACTTTGTAATCAACAAGGGGCCGCCGCATCCTGGTATGCGCTCAGAATAGAGACTTCAACGCGCTTCAGGGCAGCGTAGAACTGCACCTACTGTTCTCCGTCCGATTTTGCCCCGCGAGCAGCACCAACAACAGCACTGCGACGCTGCCAAAGGTGATTGCTTTCCAAAACTTGGTATCGGATGTGAAAATCGGCACGACCTGGTAGCACCTCGATGACCATCAGCTACTACGAGGCTTCCAGCCCGACGCCCAGGGCGTCTTTACTGACCAAACCAGGCGACATTTTTTCCATTAAAGCATATGAGAGGACGACCAGTCGTGGTACCACGGCCCGCACAGCACACAGATGGTTGCCTCAAAGCCATCTAGCTCTTGTGCTGGCGAAACTCCACGAAGCCTGCTCGACGCCCGCGATTCTCATCCGCAAACATTGGGAGAACATAAAAGAGATCCAGCATCATGGCATTCAAGCTGAAATCGTCAAAGCGCAAGAAACGAAGGACCGGCAGATCCCAAGCTGAGCCTCCTGGCCAATCTTGTCCTCGAGCTGAAATGCCCAAGGAGAAGCCACCGTGGACGCGAGTATCGTGAAACCACCACGGTGGCACATACAGCACATCCCCAGGCCGCATGTTCACGGTGTAGGAGCTGATGGCATGCATGTGGGCAGCATACGTTTCATTCAGGCCGATGGCCTCAGGATTCCTAACGCTCCACTGCGTATGGGCTCCCATGGCAGTAGCATAGCCGATACCTCCCTGCACTCGCATAAGCTGGGCCTGTCGCGGTGACCACAATCGCCACCGCCTCTCCCC